ATGTTCTAGAATCCATCCTTGTTTTATTGTTTCCCATCCCATTGTTACTAAATGTTCCATTGTGTGCTTACATTATAATTTATTGTTTATAATTTATTCTTCTCTCTTTTTGAGGGGTGTCCTCAACTCACAGCCTGGCCTCAAACTCACAGAGATCTGCCTGCCTCTGCCTCCCCAGTACTGGGATCAAAGGTGTGTGCCACCAACACCCAGCTTATCCTTCTTCTCTTGATGGACTTGTATCTTATTACACTGGGGGATTATTATGAAAGCAGAAACAGTGAACACTGATAGGTTTGGGAGGTAAATATCTACATCATGGTAAAGTCTGTAATTAACCTCTATAAAACACTCTCAACTTGTTTTCCAAAGTAATTGTACCATTCAGCATTACAACTGTGATGTGTGAGAAACCAGTCGTTCAAGATAGTCAGTACCCTAGTCCGTGTATAGTTGTTTCTCACGGCTTAATTTACATTTCCATGATGACTTGAAATGTTGAACATCTTGCATTATTTGTTTCCTCACTATTGAGTCCTAAGAGTTCTTCATATATTCTAAAGTCTCTTGTTAAATACATTTATTACAGATATTTCTCCCAGCTTCTAACTGAGCTGGTGAGACGACTCAACAGATTAGAGGCACTTGCTGCCAAGCTAAAAACCCAAGTTCCATCCCCAAGACTCATGCAGTAAGAAGAAAAGAACTAACTTCCCCAAACTGTCTTCTGACCTCCATAAACACCATGCCAAGTTCATGTGTACACACACACACACACACACTGATTTATTAAATTCCTTTCTTTTATTTAAGTTTGTTGCTTTTGCAACCTCTCTGAAATGTTTACGTAGCCCAAGGGTACCAAAAAAAACCCTTCTTTTACACTTTAAGTTTTATGGCTTAACTCAAGCGTATACAAGTTAATCTTGCATGTGGTGTATATGAGGAACAAGATTTGTTTTTTTCCCAGTATGGATATGCATTTGCTTAACATCATTATTTTAAAAGATGACTTGCCGTTAGGAGCACTTGCTGCTCTTACAGAGGACCTGGGTTTAGTTCCCAGCCAGGAGGCTCAGTCCCAGGGGTCTGCTACCATCTTCTGATCTCTAGATAGCTGCAAGCACTTGGTGCACACACGCGCACTCTGGAACATACACATTCATAAAAAATGTAAATTTTCCCTTTTCTGTCATACACCCAACCACAGCTTCCCCTGTATACTGGCTTCTTTTGTGTGTCAACTTGACACACACTGGAGTCATCAGAGAAGAAGGAGCTTCAGTTGAGGAAATGCCTCTACTCTATGAGATCCAGCTGTAAGGCATTGTCTCAATTAATGATCAATGCAGGAGGGCCCGGCCCATGGTGGGTGCTGCCATGCTGGGGCTGGTGGTCCTGGGTTCTGTAAGAAGGTGGAGTAAGCCCTGAGAAGCAAGCCAGTAAGAAAGCACCCTCTATGCCTCTGCGTCAGTCCCTGCTCCTGGGTCCTCCTGTTTAAGTCCCTGTCTTTGACTTCCTTCAGTGATGAACAGCAATGGTGAATTTGCCTCCTCAATGTACCCTTTGGTCCTGCCTGGTGTTTCATTGAAGCAAGAGAATCTCTAACTAGACCCCTTCCCTCCAGATACACCCCTCCTATCTCTCCCCAGAAAAAAAGCAGGCCTCCCAAGGACATCAACAGAACACGGTACAACAAGTTATAAGAGCAGGCACAAACCCTCCCATCAAGGTTGGGTGAGGCAGCCCAGGAGGAGGAAAAGGGCCCCGAGAGCAGAAGAGCCACCCCACTCCCATTGTCAGGGCTCCTCAAAACACCAAAGCAAGAATAACATATATTCAGAGGGCCTAGCGAAGATCCATGCAGGCTCCAAGATGGTCTCTTCAGTGTCTGCGAGTCCTAGAGCTAAGCGTGGTTGATTTGGGGTGTGGGGGTGGGAGCACAGGGAGAGCCCTACTTGTTCTCAACTCCTCTGGCTCCCACAATTCTCCCTCCCCCTACTGTCGTCCCTCTTGACCTCCTAGTGCATGCCCCACCCAGTCGGGATCATCGTATGTGTGTGTCTCTCTCATGTCCCCGTGGCCTCTCCTCCCATTTCTCTCTTCAGCATGGTGGCTCAGACTCTAAGGAGTGACTGGAAGTTCTCGGGGCTGTCACCGTGGATTGTGACTCCACACCCTGTTAGCTGAGATTCTCTTGGTGAGAAGAGCAGGGTTCATGTCAGAGTTGATGAGGACATGTATGGAGGCTAGTTGTCATCACCTGAATGGACTGAATAGTGTGGCTCAGTCTACTTCTCCAATGATCTTTTTGACTACTCATTTAGTGTCCTTGTCTTGCCAGACAGAATGCTGCCACATTTCTTAGCGTTTGTGTGGAGGTCAGGACCGCTTATAGTGGTTGGTTCACCCCTTCCAACCATGTGAGTTCCAGGGATCAACTCAGGTCACCAGGCTGGTAGCTAAGCCATTTCTCCAGCCCTTGTATAATCCAAAAATTATTTTATTCTGCTTTTCTTGGCAGCACTGCTTACATCGTAAGCAATACGTGCCGCTTAAACTACGGTACCTGTTTCTGATGAGTCTTCACTGGTGATGTTCATTGTTGTATTCTCAGCACCTAGAACGGTGTTAGATACAGTGTAGATATTCAGGAAATACTTATTAAATGAGTTAGTTATTTAAAAACTAGCATTTTGCCAGGCAGTGATAACGCATACCTTTAATCCCAGCACTCAAAAAGCAGAGACAGGCAATTCTCTGAGTTCTAGGCCAGCCTGGTCTTATAAAGTGAGCTCCAAAAAGTATGAACATTTAAAAATGTTTCTGCTGCTAACATGTTGCCTTTTTTTTTTTTTTTAAGTTATCAAGATGTGTATATAGCCAACATTGCTGGCTATGGTGACTCAGCATTTGGGAGGCTGAGGCAGTAAGGTTGCCATGAGTTGGAGGCCATTCGTAGGTTACAGTGTAAGATGCTGTCTCCCAAGATATCCCCACAAGCAGAAACACTATGTATTGCTTTGCCATAAAAGCCTCTCAGGGGCCTGGAAAGAGCTCAATTGGTAAAGTACTTGTCACACCAGCCTTAGGACCTGAGTTTGAACCTAGAGGTGAGCAGATCCCTGAATTCACTGGGTGGCCAACCCAACCTAACTGGTGAGCCCCAGATCCAAGGGGAAAAACCTGAGGAGGGACACCCAAGATTGACATCTGACCTCCACAGGCACATACACAAATGTACACACACACACATATACACACAAAAAAGGACATCTCAGGATGCTATTAAAATGTTTGTAATCATGAATTTTTAAAAAAATACTTGGTTATGTGCACTATGGGATACATGTCTGTTTTCAGATAACTAACTTATAACCAGTTATTTTTCAATATTTTGGGATTAAGAAAATTATAAATGATTAAAAACAATACATGTTCTGTGTTTGTTTAGCTGTCTAAAATTGTCTTTGTCAACTAATAATAACAAGCAGTGAATACCTTAAAACTATTTATTAAATATTATACACAAATTTAGGCAACTAGAATTTGTAGTCTAGGGTCTTGATGCTGGGTCCTTACGGACCTCACTGGAAATAGAGAGCAGAAAAACAAACATTTACATGCTTCCCTCCTACTCTGGAGATGGTGGCCTGAGCCTGTGCTGACCCATGTCACATGTCATCACATAGTTCCCACTGCCATCTTTGCCCAGTCCTCATCTGATCGGAATATTCCTGAAAGTTTGACTTGTTAATTATAGGGTACTTCACTCTCTGTGGGATGTCATTGGAGCCCTTAGTATGGAAGAAGATGGAGAGGTTTAAGTGGCAAAGACAAAGACTTGTTCTAGTTCCTGTTTGTTGTTGGGTTTCATTGGCTGCTGGTATTTGCCAATGAATGTCTCCATTTGTACTTTTAGGGACAATCTGAAATAATCCATTGTGCTTATCAAATTTCTAAGTGCCCTTTTTGTCCTTAGTTATCCTGATGTCACGTTCAAAGCCTTATTAACACTTTGCCTGAAATAGCTCTTTTGGGGTGGGGGCATTGAGACAGGGTTTCTCTGTGTAGTTTGGAGCCTGTCCTGGAACTCGCTCTGTAGACCAGGCTGGCCTCGAACTCACAGAGCTCTGCCTGCCTCTGCCTCCCGAGTGCTGGGACTAAGGGTGTGTGTCAGCACCTGAAGTAGATCATTTTGCCTCATCCATTTGCCATAATAGCTGATTCCAAGTTAAGGAATCTTTGACATAGGCTCACAATATTCTTGTGTTTTATTTTAGATTGTAAGCTTAATGACAGGAGGTTATATCAATAATGTGCTTTTTATATAGCAGCCATTGCTGTATACCTTTGGTGCTTAATATATGTTCGTGATTATTCCAAAAAAAAATGAAAATAAAAATAAAGTGAGCTCCAGGATGCCCAGGGCTGATACACAAAGAAATCCTGTCTCAAAACAAAACAAAAAACCCTATAGCATTTAAATTTTTTGATGACCACGAAGATGATTTTTTGGAAAGAAAAGGTTACCTTGAGCATATGAGTTATTATGCTTTATCTGCAAAGATACTATGAGAACTGTAAATATTCGATGGTCTTTCTTTGCCTGGGAGACTTCTTATTTGACTATTAAAAAGTAAATGTAAAGAAGTAATTATCTAAATGTCTGGTAACAGCTACATAAAAGAAAGGGCAAATTAACGTTTTTGCTTGCTAGTAATAATTATGCACTTCTAGCCATAGATATAAGAATGTCTGTGAACTTCTAGAAATGGCTGTTTGATCTTCTTGGAGTATACCTGACTCACCACCTTACTCTGTTATTTGTAAGCCTTTCCACATAATTGTGATTCACAATACTCAATTACAGTAAATCTTAACAAGAATAACTCACTTGTAAAGATACAAGTCAGCATACCAGACCAGAAAATTAGACTATTGCCCTCATTTTCAATGCTTACTGTTACATGTTTCTTTTAATCCCTCCCTTCCTATAGACAAAACTTGCCAATGGCACTTCCAGTATGATTGTGCCCAAGCAGCGGAAACTCTCAGCGAGCTATGAGAAGGAAAAGGAACTGTGTGTCAAGTATTTTGAGCAGTGGTCAGAGTCTGATCAAGTGGAATTTGTAGAACACCTTATATCCCAAATGTGTCATTACCAGCATGGGCACATCAACTCCTATCTAAAGCCTATGCTGCAGAGGGATTTCATAACTGCTCTGCCAGGTATGTGTCCGTTTCCTTATAAAGTCTTAGTTAATGTGCTGCAGCAGCCATGGCACTGGATCCTCAGCCCCACCCACCACCCACCTTTTCACTCCGGAACCCCAAGCTACCCTCAGATTCACTGTGTAGCCAAGATATGTATGCCTCGAACTCACAGCAGTCCTTCTGCCTTGCCATCGGAAGTTCTGAGATTACAAGTTAGCACTCCTGACACATTTCTCTTTTTAAAATTTTATTTGGTTTGATAGTTTCATGCCGAATCACTAATCACACCTTCTTCATATAATACAAGAAAAACCACTAGGTGTGGTGTCACTTGCCTTTAATCCCAGCATGTGGATCTCTGTGAGTTCAAGGACAGCCTGGTCTACAAAGTGAGTTTCAGGACAGCCAGGGCCACACAGAGAAACCTTGTCTCAAAAAAAAAAAAAAGAAGAAGAAAAGAAAGGGAAAAAGTACAAAAATTAAATTTCATTTTACTTTGTCTTCTTGTCTTACGTCCTTCTATTCAGCTTTTTTAAAATTTGTTTAACTTATATGCAGTTCCAAATCTGGTTGGTTTGTTTGTTTGTTTTCCCCTTTACCTGATTTGAGGTATGACTTTTATAATGTGTTTTATTCAATTTTTTTTCCTGTATTTCGATTTGAATTTGAATTTGTGGGAATTTTAGCAACAAAAGTGTATGTTTGTTGGTTTGTTTGCTTGCTTGTTTGCTTGAGACAGAGTATCTCTCTACCTAGCTCAGGCTGGCTAAAAAAAAAACCCCACAGTCCTCCTGGATCAGCTTCTATTACAAGCAATAACAGAATACTTAAATTATAGAAACTAATTTTTTTAGGTCTTATTTTGTTTGTTATTTGGGTTTTTTGTTTGTTTGTTTTTGTCAATTTTTTGTTGTTGTTTGGTTTTGTTTTTCCAGACAGGGTTACTCTATATTGCTTTGGAGCCTGTCCCAGAACTCTCTCTGTAGACCAGGCTGGCCTTGAACTCAGAGATCCCCTGCCTCTGCCTCCCAAGTGCTGTTTTTAAAGGTGTGTGTCACCAACACCCAGTAGTTTTTTTTTGTTTTTGTTTTTTTGATAGAATCAATTCTTTGATCTCTCTCTCTCTCTTTCTCTTCCTCCCTCCATCTCTCCCTCCCTTTCTCTCTCTCTGTCTCATACACACATGCATACATGACAGAAAGAGAGAGAGAGAGAGAGAGAGAGAGAGAGAGAGAGAGAGAGAGGAGAGAGAAGGAAAGATAATTGTAAGGATGCCATAGTTTTTCTGCAGATCAGCCAGGATCTTGTTCACAGAAGGCAGACATTGCTACTGACCTATATCCCAATTTGGGTTGGGGGGGAGGGGAAATACTGATGCAAACTAGGCAAGTACTCTGTCACTAAGTGACATCTTCAGAGTGCCCAACCCCATCTTGGTGATCTAGAACACTGTAAAGCATGGGAAATAGGAAGTTCTTATATGGGGTACACATTTATCAGGGAAATACTATACAGTCAGTGTTAACGATCCTGCAGGTCTTGTTTGTGTGTGTTTTTCTATTTTGACTGCTTTAATGGTTATGAAGGTTATGAAATTTAGAAAATCCTCCTTCAAAAAAATAAACATAGACTGGAAAGATAGCTCAGCCAGTAAAGCGTTTGCTACAGAAGCATGAGGAGACAAGGGTTTGGTCCTCAGAGCCTACATAAGAAAGCCGGCCCGGTGTGGGGGTGCACTCCTTTAGTCCCAGCACTCAGGAGGCAGAGGCAGGTGGATCTCTGTGAGTCCGAGGCCAGCCTGGTCTACAGAGGGAGTTCCAGGACAGCCTCCAAAGCTACAGAGAAACCCTGTCTCAGAAAACAAAACAAAGAAAGCTGGAAGTGGGGGGGTGCATTTGTATTCCCAGCCCTGGGGAGGCAGATGTAGGTAGATTCTTGGGTTTCGTGGGCCTTCATGCACATCTATGTGACCATACACATACACACAAAGTAAAAAGTGTAATTGCCCAGAATTCTACCACACAGATAGCCCTTTGCTCATATATTAAGTTCTGATGATGTGTTTATTTCCCTATATATAAAGACTCAGAGTAGACTTGCTATAGTAAAGAATTGGTGTTTGATTGTAGTTTGATTGTAGTTTGCTTGTTTGGGCTGGGTTTTTTGCTTTGCTTGTCGGTGCTTGTTTTATGGGTGTGTTGGAAATTGAACCCATTGCCTCACACACTTGCCATCGAGCACTGGGCCGTTAGCCTTCACCTGCTGCCTTGAACCATGAGCCTTTTGAAGGCTTCCTCCTCCTCCTGACGCAAGGTCTTACTGTGTACCTCAGACTGGCCTTGAACTCTCACCATTCCTCCTGCCTCGTCCTCCTGGATTACAGTTGTGTGTCTCCACCAGCAGCTTCACCTTTAGAAAGCTTTTGGTACATGCTGGCAAGCTCTCCTGAAAGAATAATGTACTATTTGACAACCTTCTCAGGACTACATACTACTGCTTTACTTAATACTTGCCAGCTGTTTCTTAAAGTTATGTTTTTCTAAACTTAAAATAAGTTACCTTTTAAAATTAAAGAAATGCTATTTGTATATTACAAATAACCACTTTAAAACAAATTGTACCTCTTATCCTTTGCTAAATAGGTGTTTGCCCCCTTATAATATCTGGAACTTTTTTTCCTAGCCATAGGCAAGCAGTTTATCTTTGTACAATCTGAGTGTACCTATTTCTGTGTCCTTCCCAATCGTTAAGACATGCTACTGTCTTTAGCTTAGACACTAAGAATTGAACTAGAGTAGATTGGACCTGTGTATAATACCTAATACTGATCCCTAGTGTGTGTATCTGCTGACCAGGCTACCTGGTATTAAATCACATCCAGTGCTTAACAGCCATTTAAATTTCTAAACCTACACCATCTGGCTGCATTTAGTAAACCAAACTACTTCAAAAATTGCCTATAATCCATTAATGTAATGGTTTTGTTTGGAGTGTTAGGTGAAATTACTTCCAGCAACTTATTACTGGTACATTGTAAAAGATCAGGAGCAATTTGACAGCAGCCATTAAAAATGTACGAATGCCTCTTGGAAACTTCTGATGTTGTACAAAGTTTGAATGTAAAGATTCAGGAAACATATCATCATTGTATTTTGTATAAAAAACTATTTATTGTATCTTTAATTGGCTTGTAGTCATATTCCTTTAATAAGAATTAAGTGATGGATGCCCCCATCTGCTTATGCTTAAATATGAACATGTGATGCCAGCCAAACAAGATCCATTTAAAGCCATACAATTTTTATAATTAGAATAATGTTTAATAAGCATATTTGGATTGTTGCTAATGGCATCCAAGTGTGTTTCCATATGATTCAGGGGAAACATGCATGCATGCCATTGGTTCTTCTCAATTCATGCCTGCAGAAGACAGACTGTATGACTCCTTCCACATTTTAAGCCTTCGAAAAACTTTAAAGATTAATAATTTTGAATGTTACTAGGGTGGTCATCCTGTTCAAAGCTCTTTGCCACTGGGACTTTGATATATATTTGGGTGGTAGAGCGCTTTAATTGGGGAACACTAATTTCCATCACCCATGGTCAACTAGCCATGCTCTCCTCTGAAATGCTACCCAAATTATTGATTGGCAAGATTTTTTTTTTTTCCATTTCTGGTCATCACTTAGGTTTTATAGCAGTAAAATGGTTGTTTTTTTTAACACATGCAGTGGAGCTCATCTTTGAACTTCTATATCCCTGTGTGTCCTCTCAGGATGCTCCTGTAGCCATGTCTACATGTCTGCTCCCCTCCTGCCTGCACACCCACATTCCCTACCCCAGAAGAGTCTGGTGTGCTGCCTCTCTCCCCAGTACATGTAAGGGTATTTCCTTCATTGGCTAGCTCTGGGACTGCAGCAGTAATAGAAGCAGAATGAGAAATGGACCTAATATCACGATTTCGGGGGGTCTGAATCACAGAGTTTGAGATGCCATCCGTAGAACATCCCCCAGTGTTGAAATCCATATAGATAGATGTGAACTGTTTTCTGGACTCCTTTTTATTTTTAATGTCTTGGGGGTTTGCTGGTAGTTAGCTTTAACTTCCTTATCTAACAGAAGATGGAAAATGCTGTTCATTTCTGTAACCTTATGGAAAAATTATTGACACTCATTTTACCCAAGTCTCTGCTTGAGAAAGAAACTGAACCGCACTAGGGACAGTGGCATGTCTTCATTTCACAGCATGTGCTATTCTTTTAAAAGGCTTTCTATGAAAAATTGCTCAGCAACCCCTCTGTCTTTTTCTCTGCTTCCTTCTCCTCACCAAAGCACGGGGTCTGGACCATATTGCTGAGAACATTCTGTCGTACTTGGACGCCAAATCTCTGTGTGCTGCTGAGCTTGTGTGCAAGGAGTGGTACCGTGTGACGTCGGATGGCATGCTGTGGAAGAAGCTCATCGAGAGAATGGTCAGGACAGACTCTCTGTGGAGAGGCCTGGCAGAGCGCAGAGGGTGGTGAGCCTTTACCCTTCCTCCTACCACAGCACTCCCATGCGGGGACACTGCTCATTGCTGAGTTTGGGAGCCAGTGAGGCTACTTCGAATCATTTAGCGTTATTGTGCCGATTTATAACTGAAAATATAAGAGAATTGTTGTTCGAGTACTCAACAGCTTTTCTCTGACTAGCCCATCATTAAGTGACATATTTTGTTAATACTGCCTCGAAAGAAAACTGACCACCTCCTGATAAAAGTATTCTGCTCTTTGGCAGAAAATGGGACTCTACAAAAAGGCTAAGGGGCAATTTTCAAGGCAGGTAGGGCAGCTTTGCGTCCGGTAGAAAGTATCCATTCCTGCTTCCCCCTCCTGGGGAAAATGGAATTGTTCTCCTTCAGTAGACTTCCGGTATTTACTCCCCACTTCAGTGTCTCCTTAAAACTTCTTAAAGAGATTTCTCTTCTTAGAATTTTGCCTCAGAGTGTGTCCCTAGAATGCCACTATGAAAAAGTCAGGTATGAATAATTCATTGAGTATGTTATTTTAAAAAAAAATAATAATTGGCATGTGTATGCACAATGATTGTCTTCACAATTAACTTTTTTTTTTTTTTTTTTTTTTGCGGGGTGGGTATCTGTTTTTGTCTGTAGGCATACACAACCTCAAATAATTAAGACTACCAAAGGAAAGCTAGGTGTAGCAGTACACGCCTGCCTTTCCAAGCAGAAGGAAGGAGGCTGACAAGTACGAGACCATCTTGGCTCTGTAACATGACCGGCCCTGTGTCAAAAAACAAGTTTAAAAATAGTCAGGAGCTGCAGGTCCTTGCTTTGTATATTCAAGGCTCTGGGTTGAGTCTCAGCTCTCAAAAAAAAAAAAAAAAAAAAAAACCTTTGTTTAGCCTCAAGGGCATGGTGGGCCATACCTGTATTCCCAGCAAGTAAGGAAGTTGAGACAGGAAAGAGAAAGATAAATACCAACCTTCTTAGAATTTTCATAAAATTATGCTTGGCTCTCTTGATTTTGTATCCTTGAAATTCATGGACTCATGAATATGTTAACCTATGAGTGTGATGGCAAGTGCTTCAACATTTCTGAGTTATTAGGAAGACTTTAAAACCTTTACTCTTAAATCTCAGGCCAAGGATCCAAATGCTAGCAATCTTCTTGTTATATGACTACTTATTGTTATTTTCTCCTATTGTTTTCCTTTCAGATGTTTTTCCTACCCTTCCTTACCATGTAGGAAAGGAGAAGCTGCCATTGCTTACTGACTTCAGCCTCTGTTAGTTAGCATGTGTGGTACTCGGCATCCATCATTTTGTTGAGGCCAAGGCTAGCTTTAGAAATGAGCAGTTTTACTTGTGGAAATTTCTCTATCCCTCAGGAAAACAAAGGAACTCTCCTTCAGATAATTCATTCCTTAACATACCAGTTTCTAAAATTCACTTCTTAGCTAAAAAAGACTTCATGCCCTGTTAAAATGCACACGTTTCCATTTGTACTGTGAATGACAGTACCTTTGCAAGGCAAGGCGAGCAAGGAGCGGGGCTTCTGAGATGTGCACATCTACAAATGCAGACTTAAAAGCATAACCTTTGTTTAGGGCTGCTCCTAAACAGTGGGTCTTTTGTGTTAGTTACAATGACAGTAGCAAAAACCATCATTGAAAAGATAGGTTCCGTGCCTTTACTTTTTATTAAATAATTTGTGTGGTACCTGGAATCAGACTGAGGGTTTTGTCAGACGAGTGAGTATTCTTACCCTAAGTTCAGTGCAGTCCACTTTTGAGCCTTTTAGAAGGGTCCTCAAAGACACAACTGAGATGTCTTCATTCTGTTAGCATCACGGATCCCCTCTTCAGCCTCAGAAACCCCGCCCACTCTTTGCAAGACATTCAGCTTTATGACCCGAATTCCTTGTCTTTGATCACAGTGATATAATTTGATATAACTTGTTACAGTCCCATGAAATGGTAAATACAAATACTTGTGTGCTCTATGAATGCCTGTTGAGTGTGTTCAGGTGACTTGTGTCTCTTTGTTTATTGCCTTTGTGTTTGGGTGTTCGTAGCATTGAGACACGGGGCCTTGCTACATAGCCCAGCTTGCTCTCAAGCCTCCAGCCTTCTGAGTGCCGGGATTACAGGGTTATAGGAATGTGCCAAATTCTCCCTTCTTCAGAAGAAATACTTTATGATCAGTTTTTTTTTTTTTTTAATAGGATCTTTCTGTGTAGCCCTGGTTGTACTGAAACTCACTCTGTAGACCAGGCTGACCTCAAACTCACAAAGACTCTCTTGCCTCTGCCTCCTGTGTGCTAGGGTCAGAGGCATCCGTCACTACCCTCAGCTCTTATCAGTTTTTGAAGTTATCTTTACTAAGGTCTCTGTATTAAAGCCTTTCTGTGTTGTTCCTTGTCCTATACAAGTGTTGAAAGTGACTCCAATTTCTTTTCAAAAGTATACAAGTAAATACGGTCTTCCTGGAGTGATTGAGTCACCAGGATTTAACTTCCACTTTGCAGTTATATTTCATACAGATAGATTTGACAGTTTGCCCCTAGGACATGAACTTTGCCGTTTTTCTCTCTTAAATAACACTAGATAATGTCCTCTGCTCAGTAATGGTAACTCTTAAAAGTATGATAAAGGGCCACTGGGGAAAAGTCCATTTTCTTAATCAGGAGATCACATTTTATGATAACATTCCAAATTTAATATTTCACATTTGTCATGCACTCACATCCTTACAGGTACCAGACATTTTCTATAGAAGTGGTCCCTGTTGTCAAGGAACATACACTATAAAAGATTTTGGCTTAAAACAGATATAGACTAGGAAGCCAGTTCTCAATATCTACCACTCCTTTGTAGCATCTTTGATTGGAAAGATTAGTATGCATTTGTAAGGCATGGTAAAGATGGAAGGGTAGAAAATGAGATTGCAGATTCATTTGAATCCTATTTCCCGAGGATATGGAGACAATGCCATTGAATGTGAAGGAAATCCTAGAGCACCTTATAGGAACGGCAAAGACTCAAAGGAAGACAAGAATCTCAGGAATGGTGGGCACTGGAAACAATAGTTAAAAATCTCATCTGCATGCAAAGTGTTTATATAACCAGACTGTTCAAACAAGGATGCCGTTAATTCAGAATTATTTCTCAAAGTAGCTTACTTACCCTTTATGTTGGCATATCGGGTTTCACAGTCCTCCTTTAAAAAGACTGTTCTTTCACTTCTCCATTGCAGATTTCCCTTTCTGCATTACAGTAGGCAGCAGACCCAGCTGCCTTCCTGATAGGAGATTTTCTCAACTAATTTTCAGGATGTATAATAGGGAGAGGGCAGAGGAGAGGCTCTCCTGAAGACATGGAACAATTAATTATATTGTAATGGTGCCGTAGAGGCACAAGTGGATGACTGGCCCAGAGAAAACATGATTTCTCTGGTGCCAGGATTACACTCAGAGGCATGTCTGCGTATCTCCACTTTGCAAGGCACGGTGCCAGTGAGAACAGCGGTTAGTACACCCATAGTGGGCTTTACTAGCTTCCTCACCGTGTTTGGTGGGTTCTTAACTTCAGGGTAAGGAATTAAATTTTTTACCCAGCTGGAAGTGATTGCCATTTACCTTTTTTTTTGGGGGGGGGAGGGGGTAGGTGGGGAGAAAGAGCACTGTAGCTGGGGATGTGAGTATTCAGAGACGCTGTTGTAAGGAAGGATTTACCAGCAAACGCTGCTTGCTGGAGTCAAGGAAAGTTAGCGTGTGCATCTGTGTGTGCACACCTGTAAAAGCCGGCTTCATGCCTCACACATGATGGCACGGTATGCTAAGCACTTCCTCTCACCTCTTTCCTTCCTGATGCTGGACACTGATGTAGTCCCTTTGTTTGTTACATGTACTGATTTGTCTCCTTTGGAAGCCTGTCACAGCGATCAGGGGTGGCCCCAGTGACTAAGCTAGCACACCTCACCTCATGTGATAAGTGACTAGAAGCTTGGTCTCCATTACTCGAGCACTACTGTTACCCAGTATGCTAGGCTCAGGGAGGTGTGCTAGAGTAGCAAACTACTTACCAGCAGTGTGTGCACTGCTCTGAGCTCAAGCCCTGGAACCAAGGGAGAAAAGTACTAGTTATGATTATGAACTAGAAGAATTACCATTATTATCAAATGATAAAATCAGTAAATATGCAGAAGCCTAATAAATCAGTAGATGAATTCCGAGTATACGTTTATCAATATCCCAAAGGGATTAGTATTCTGATGGTCTGTACTGGAATCAAAGTTGATCGAGTTTCTTAGATACCAGGAGGTTAACACTGACACGGGACTCCTAAAATCACCCTAGCATCATGCCTTGCCACGCTAGTTATTGGACAGTATGTGGAGTGGTAACAGAAAACAGAAACATTTTGAAAAACTTATAAAGCTTCTTGTAAGTGGATTTATGATCTTCATTGGTTAATGTTTGCATTTTTTAGGGGACAGTACCTATTCAAAAACAAGCCTCCTGATGAGAACGCTCCTCCCAACTCCTTTTATAGAGCACTTTATCCCAAAATTATACAAGATATTGAGGTAAGAATTGGTGTATTTCTGGATATTTTGAGTGGTAGGGAATAATTAGTATGTTTAACTTACAGGTATTATTACAGGAGACCCATTAAGGTTTTCAGTGTGGGTTGAAAATGAGTAAGGCTGGTAAAGTACAGTAGAGTCCCAGTCAATTCTGTACAGCCTCAGAGTCTTTGTTTACAGAGAGATGAGGGTGCAAGGGGGGATTACCACCTTTCTAAGGCACCAGGGGGACACTGAAGCCCTAAGCTGTTGAGCCAGCCTCCTTGAAAAGTTATCGTAAGCATTGGATGCCTACTCTTTAGTTTTTTAAATCCATTTGTATCCCATCGAGCAGTACTTCTCAGCCTTCCTAATGCTGAGACCCTTTAATACAGTTCCTCCTGATGTGCTGACCCCCAAACACCAGGATTATTTTATTGTTACTTCACAACTGTAATTTTGCTGCAGTTATGAGTTGTAATGTAAATATTCGTGTTTTCCAGTGGTCTTAGGCAACCCCTGTGAAATGGTAGTGCGGGTCACACCCCACAGGTTGAGAACCTCTCCCATAGTGTGACACTGAGCCATTGGTTTGGGTTCTTTCCTAGTGAACTGCTTCTTTGAATCCTCCTTTTCAGACAATAGAATCCAATTGGAGATGTGGACGACATAGTTTACAGAGAATCCACTGCCGAAGTGAGACAAGCAAAGGAGTGTACTGTTTACAATATGATGACCAGAAAATAGTAAGCGGCCTTCGAGACAACACAATCAAGGTGACGTCTCTTCCTTCAGTTGAAGAGCATAGTTTTGGGAATAAGGGTGACTGTGTGAAGCAGAAGTCCTAAGTGTTGTTTCTGGGGGGTGGGGGAATTTAGATTAGTTCCAGTACCAAAGCCAAAATCATTTCCTTAAAGGGCAAGTGTCTGCTTCTCCCCAGATAATCTTACAAATGAATAGTTCCAGGCTTGAAATCTCTTCTAGAAGTGCGCTGATGGAAGCTGTTGTTATTTTGGCCTTCATAATTATAGGCTACTCTTCCACCTTAATGAAGAGGATAAAGTTAGCATTAGCACTGAAGTCAGCTCATCCAGGTGCTGTCTACCTGGAGGGAAGAATGCAGTCTCGCCCTCCCAGGCTTGGTGTTTGGGGACCGTGCATGTGCAGAGCAACAAGTCTCCACAGCACCCCATTATGACAGTGACCCTTTGCCCTCCTAGATCTGGGATAAAAGCACATTGGAATGCAAGCGGATTCTCACAGGCCACACGGGCTCTGTCCTGTGTCTCCAGTATGATGAGAGAGTGGTCATAACTGGGTCATCGGATTCCACTGTCAGGTAGGAGACGGCGGGCTCTGAAACCCTCCACTTTTTGTCATGGTAATTTTCTTTTTTAATTTTTACTTTATGTGCATTGAGGTTTTGCCTGTGTCTGTGCATGTCTGTATGAGGGTGTCAGACCCTGGAATCAGCTGCTAGTTGGTCACTTGTTGCCCTACAACCAGACACTTGATTGTGCAACCATCGGGGGTAGATTTCTTCTGCCTTGGCGTGTTTAAGAAGCTATACACAGATTTTAATTGGGAGAAGCACCTGTCACAGGAACTTTCCCTCTCTTTATGGGAAGCCTTGCATCCCTTTATGAAACCACCTCACGGGAACGCGGGAAGGGAGTGAAGCCTTGCGTTCAGGTGGTTGTAACTGCAGTGCAGGCATGTGTGAGCTCTTTCAAGTGTGTACAGGTGAACAGGGCTCACTCCTCGACAGCCCCTCTCCTGCTGTCCCCACAGTGTTTAATTGCCAGCTTCACTCAGGGAGGGGTCCTCAATTTCCAGAGGCACTGGTGATTTGATGACACAGCCATTATGCTGCTGGAGTCCAGTGTAGCTTGAGTTCAGGGTACCAGCATCACTGCTGGCAACCTGCTAGGAATTTCACCTTAAGCTAAAGGATTTAGCAAATGTAATACATCAAAAGTAACTTTAAAAAAAAACTGGAATAAAAGGCAGTTAACTGCATTGTTAAATCCTCTAAAGTTATCCCCTGTAAATAGGAAAAGCTGCTCCTTTGACTCTAGGCATAGCGGACCCAGTCCATGCAGTTGTTGGCAATTAACTTTTATCCGTGCTGTGGCGTGCCTCACAGGCGCAGAGCATTGTAGATGCTCATATCATTTATAGGATAGGGGGAGAGGCAATGTGTTGTTTGTTTGTTTTGGTGGTGTTGGGGTTGAACCTGGGGCTTAGCATGCTAAGTAGCACTCTACCTTTTAGCAAAACTGCAGCACAGGAAATAGCTTTCCAAAGGGAGAGTTAAGCTGCAAAGGGGGAATAAAATGACATTTTCCAAACGAAAATCAGTATGCAAAAATAGAGTATTGAAGGTAATTTCTATCATGGCACGGTTCTCAAGCTATCCAAGGGTCCCCACTGCTGTGAAGCAGTACTAGAGCGGGAGAGGGGGCTCTTGACCTCTGGCCCTGAAAAGCACACAAATGGAGCCTTGCACTTAGAGTCTGTGTAATCCTGACCCTTGACCCAGGCCGGAAACTTAACACTCAGGGAAGTCAAGCTCTAGTCCCCATGACTAAGTCTGTGGCAGAACATCTTGGCCCATGGTTCCTGGGACCAGTCACTGGAACAGATCCAACTGTCATCCTTTTTTTTTTTTTTTTTTTTTTTTTAATTCTTTTTTTTTTATTGATTATTTCAGAATCTCACATCATGCACCCTGATCACACTCACCTCCCAGTCTTCCCATGACCTCCCCCAACAAAAACATTCCATTTTGTATTGTCCATATATTCAGTGGAGCATGGTCAAGTTCCTAGTGGCCAGCCCACCAAGGAGGATGAGTCTTTCTCTACCTGGGTCTGTGCCAGAAGCCGTCAGCTGAGGAGAGCCCCCCATGGTGGCTAGAGCAGGGCAGAGCTACTGCTCCCACGACCACACACATGACCATGGATGGCTTCAGGCTGCAGCACCAACCACATGCATCCACATGGGTGGGCTTCGGTGGTAACATGGGGGCACAGACCCACTCCTGGCTCTCCCTGTTGCTGTTCTTTACCTTGGTTTACATGTGTGTTCTTAAGTTCATGTCAATAATAGAATTATGTTATAACAACATGCTAGTAAATTACAGTAATCTGGAAATCTGTGCCACATTATCAGGTGATCGTGACTGTTTCCTCACCCCTGAGCACTATGGCTTGGCCAGATTTCCCATCTTAAGGTTCTACCCAGGAAGCACCCACTTCTGCCTTTCCTCTTTGTCCATGCTGCCTCCTTATGGTCCATCCATACTCTCCCTTGGGCCTGCAAAGGAAGAGCACAACAGTTGCCATGAAAGTGGAGGTGTGGTGCTGGAGAGATGGCTCAGCGGTTAAGAGTGCTGGCTGCTCTTCCAGAGGTGGCTCACAACCATCTATAATGAAATGTGGTACCTTCTTCTGGTATGCACACTGTGTACATAATACATTTCTTTTTTAAAGTAGGGGTGAGCCAAGCGTGGTGACGCACACCCTTTGTGTCTTCACTCAGGAGGCAGAGGCAGGTGGGTCTCTGTGAGTTTGAGGCCAGCCTGGTCTACAGAACAGCCAGAACTACACAGAGAAACCCTGTCTCAAAGAGAAAATCGGGGGTGGGCCTGTCATTGATGATAAGCTCCATAGTTGAAACAGTCACTTCACTGTAGCCTAAGTACCATCTAACTCTCTGGTACCCTTTTCAGAGTGTGGGATGTAAATGCAGGCGAGATGCTAAACACATTGATTCATCATTGTGAAGCAGTTCTGCACTTGCGTTTCAATAACGGCATGATGGTAACCTGCTCCAAGGATCGTTCCATTGCTGTATGGGATATGGCCTCCCCAACTGACATCACCCTAAGGAGGGTGCTGGTGGGACACCGAGCTGCAGTCAATGTTGTAGACTTTGATGACAAGTACATCGTTTCTGCATCTGGAGATAGAACCATAAAGGTGATGGGCCACTTTTCAGTGTGTTCACAAGGTGTAGTAAGGAGTTGGTAACATCTGTGTACATACATAAGCATTATTGTAGAATAATGTGACATTAATTCAGTTTTTATTTCTATAAACAAAAGGTGACAGGCTGGAGATGTAGCTTAGTGGTAGACAGCTTGCCTCGCATGCCCAAGACCCAGCATGGAAAGATAGTAACGGTGTCACTGATGATGATGGCAATTATTTCAAGTGTGAGAAGAGCAGATCAAGTTTAAGTTCAAAAAAAAAAAAAAAGCCACATACTAGAGCAGAGAAAATGGCCATGTTGATGAATTCCTTGCCACACAAGCATTAGGACCTGAGTTCAAATCCCTAGCAGCCATGTAAAAGCCGATGTAGCAGCACAAATTTGAGATCTCAGTGTGGGGCTAGGGAGGGTGGCAAACCCCTGATGCTTGGTGGCCAGCCACTCTAGCCAAATCAGGAAGCTTTGTGTTTAAAGACCCTGTCTTGGAGAATAAGGTGTAGGGCTGGAGAGGTAGCTTGGTGTGTTAAGACAGTGTGCTGCTTTTGCAAAGGACCCAGGTTTAGTTGTCAGCATGCAAATACTGGTTCAAAACCACCTGAAACCTCAGTTCCAGGGGACCTGACATCCTCTTCAGGCCTGTGTGGGTTACTGCACATACTCGGTACACACAAACTCAAGCAGATACATACACATAATAAGTGTGTCTCTTAAAAAAAAAAAGTCAGGTGGAAAGGAACTAAGGAGGACACTGAGTGCACACACAGCATCAAGAGGAGACCAGTTCCGTGGGAGTAAGTCGTGTGACAGCAACCAGCCTCACATGTCCCGTGTTACTATGAACTAAACTTGGCTCGTACTTTGCATTGCTGTTTTGTTGAGACATTGGCATCCTCTGATGACTCACTTCTGTTTCCTGCTCACCCAGTACTCCGTTTTACTGGTAGAAGGGTGCCGATCAACTACTTGGTTGTCATTTCTCTGTCTCAGGTATGGAACACGAGTACTTGTGAATTTGTAAGGACCCTAAATGGACACAAACGAGGCATTGCCTGTTTGCAGTACAGAGACAGGCTGGTGGTGAGTGGCTCATCTGACAACACCATCAGGTGAGCAGCAGGTGCCCTTCCCCAGAGCGGACACACATCACCCTTCCAGGCACCATTTGTGCACAGACCTCATGGTCTTTAACTGTCTTGTTTGGTTGTTTTTTGTGGTTTGTGGTGGTTGTTTGGATTTTCAAGACAGTTTCTCTGTGTAGCCCTGGCAGTCCTGGAACTGGCCTCTATATAACTCACAGAGGTCTGCTTGCCTCTGCTCCCTGAGTGCTGGGATTGAAGGCGTGGCCTGGCTTTGTTTGGTTTTGTTTTGATTTCGATTTTTTAATGTTTTCTCATATATCCCTCCACCCCTCCCACCTCCCCCACACATAGCTCTCCTCTCCCCTAGATCCAGTCAATGCAGTTCCTTTCCGTAGAGTCTTACAGGGCTAAAGCTTGCCCTGCCAGAGAGGCAGTACCGAAGAGTCCTGTGTGGATGCGCTTCCTTCCCCTAATACTTTCCCAAATAGACCTATTTCAGAGGACCTGCTTAAATAAGAAACTAAGCCAGCTAAGGGAAGTTAACCCTTCTTTTAAATTTCTTTCCTTCGGTTGAAAAAATGCTAATAAATAAAGGCCATTTCTCTATTTCACTGTTGTTGAAAACATAAAGAAGAATAAAAGATTTGATTCTTTGCTAGAAATCATGACTTTTTCTTCAGTACAGTAGTTGGCCAGAGAGCTAGTTATCTTCAAATTTGAAGGTTTCACAAGTCTGTACTTCTTTGTATTTTTACCCTTACAAAGATGAATGACAGAGAGGTGGTTAGAATTTGGAAATTTTATCTGTCGTCTTCTTTCCTTCAATGCCTGAGGGAAGGAAGAGCTAGACTGATGGATCAAACCTGCCATTCCTAGAAATGAATGGAATTGGGCTGAAAGCATTAAAACTATTGCAGCAAACTTCCCAAGTTTCGGCTTTGCCTTTCTGTCCTGGACAGTGGTGAAGAGTGTCCTCCAGCAGAGACGGAGGTCCTTGAGTGAGATCCCTGGGATGATGTATCTCGTTCTGTGAGGTGACTTCAGTACTCTCTTGAACTGGTCATTTCCTTCCTAGGAAACTGTACGTTGAATCCCTGCCGGGAGAACCTGGTTTCAGAGTTGTATGAAAACTCACAGCATTTGAACTTAAATCACACAGTTTCTGCCCAAATGACAGATAAGAGATAAGTTATATTGAAAGTAACATACTTTTATATGAGTGAAATTTTAAAACATATTTTTACTTTATGTGTACAACTGTGATCTGTGTGTTCATGTTTGTGCCACATGTGTGCCTAAGGTCCGAGTTGGTGAGAAGAGTGTGTTGGATCCTCTGGAGCAGGAGTTAAGGATGGCTACAAAACACCATATAGGCACTGGGAATCAGAGCTCTTAACCCCTCAGCCATTTTTCCAGCCCCCTTTGTGAATTTTTTTTTTTTTTTTTTTTTGCTTTATCTTATTTTTGGTTTTTCAAGATAGGGTTTCTCTGTTGCTTTGGAGCCTGTCCTGGAACCAGCTCTGTAGCCTAGGCTGGCCTCGAACTCACAGAGATCCACCTGTTCCTGTGTGTGTCCGTGTCCTCCCCCCAAACGGGTGCTGGAATTAAAGGCGTGCGCCACCACCACCCAGCCCCTTTGTGAATTTTTAAAGGATGTGTGAAATACATTGTAATATTCAAGGCTTGGAAGTGAATCCACAAAATTTCAGCTGGCTCCATTTTGTCTTCCAGACTGTGGGACATAGAATGCGGTGCGTGTTTACGAGTGTTAGAAGGCCATGAGGAATTGGTGCGCTGTATTCGATTTGATAACAAAAGGATAGTGAGTGGGGCCTATGATGGGTGAGTTCACTGACAATATTACAAAACAAATAAATGTAAGAGCTCAGGTTGCAGCCCAGAAGCAGAGTGTGTGCTTAACGTGTGCAAGGTCCAGGGCTCAGTCCCAGCACCTCCCTTCCCCAGTGTCCGCATCTTCATTCTTCCCAGTTTGTGTTGGTAAATGTGGTCCGCCCTTGGCTCTAAACCCTTAAATGCACTATTGCTTAATTGGTAGGCACCTCTCTTTTGCTTACTGTTTCCTAAAATATTTTTCCTAGTCATTTAATTGTATTTTGTGTTATTTTGGCTATTAGGTTATAGATCTGTCTGGTTTACCAGACAGATCCACGGGAGCAGACCAAGCATGTAAAGCGGGTGTTGTAAGCGGGAGTGTGAGAGCCAGGCCCCTGGGCCCAGACGCTCACTGCCCCTTCTCTTGTCCTGACTTTTTGCTCTTCTTCCTTGTGTTCCCTTCAGTTTGCTTTCAACTAAGACTTTTGTCCCCTCTTTGATCTCTAGAAAAATTAAAGTGTGGGACCTTATGGCTGCTTTGGACCCCCGTGCTCCTGCAGGGACTCTTTGTCTACGGACGCTTGTGGTAAGACCCTTATTGTTAAAGGCGCTGAAGAAATGTTAATGGGCTGTAGACTATAGAACTGGATTTTATAGTTAGACTCTCACAAAACCTACTAAGTGGAAAAGCAACCAATACATGACAAATAAAATATGTTTATATAGTGCCTTTCATCCAAAAGTACTTTAGAGGCCGTATGTGGAGAGGACTTGGCAGCTGCTCAACAGCTGCACAGTCCTCTCCCACATGTAGTGCAGGAAGTGGATAAGAATTCCGTGTCTACCAGAAGGCAGCAGGAGGTACTGAGGGAGGGGGAACACGATTACTCAGATTGGAACCTGTCCAGAATCCAAGGCCCTGAACACCTGGGCTTGCTGGTCAGCTCCCCGGCTCTGCACCTCACGAGCAGCGCCTCCAGTGCCTCAGACCCTGCCGTTGTTACCCCGTCCACCCCGTGCTTCAACACCGCAACACTTGGGCAGAGAAGTGAGTCAGAAGGAGAAATACCACCCTCAAATGCCTTTGGTGGCAGGCCCCCACATGGCCCTGCTTGGATTGAAATTTTAGTCCTACTGCCCCACTTCCCTAGTGCGGGGATCAAAGGCCATGTCTCCCACAGGCTTAGTCACCTTATAAGCCGCAGGCTCACAGTGACAAATGTTGCTTTAGTTAGATGTGTGTGGACCCAGAGTAATCAGCGTCTTTTGAGCAGCTCAGGGAAAAGATGAAACGTTAAAAGCCCAGTGTTCTAAGTTCAAGTCAACACTCAGGAAGCCTCCGCTCTGGAGAAAAGGAACGCTTTGTCTGCCTCGGGTTTAAAGCACTTTCTTAGACTGGATATGGTGGTGCACTCTGTGTAGCTCAGCATTCAGGGGCTGAGGCAGGAGAATTGCTGAGTCTCCCTGAGAGGCCTGGGCTACAGATTGAGGCCCTAAGCTTGGCTGCATTCTTTCAGTAGCACATGTGCTTTGCCTGCTTTCTTCACCCATCTTTTCAAATGTGCGCTCTTTGCGCTGAGCATTTTGCCATGCGTCTGTAACCCCCCCACCACCTTAAAAATGAGGCAAGAAGAGCGATGGTGGCGCACACCTTTAATTCTAGCTATGGGCAGGAAGGGGAGGGTGATCTGAGTTCAAGGTCAGCCTGGTGGACACACTAAGTTCCAAGCCAGCTAGGACTACAAAGGGATACCCTGTCTCAAACATAAAAAATAAATAATAATTTTTAGAGCGTTTTGACATGTATATTCCAGTAAAACCATACATCATGGACCTCCTTGTCCCTGTTCTGATTTACAGAGCCTTGGCATTTCCTAGGGTTTTCTAAGAATGAATCGTACAGTATGTACTTTTTTATGCCCATCTTAGTTTTCTTTTTTTTTTTTTTTTTAATGATTTATTTATGTGTATTTTACTTGCGTTGGTGTTTTGCCTGCATGTATGTCTGTGTGAGGACATCAGATCCCCTGGAACTGTAGCTATAGACAGTTGTAAGTTGCCATATGGGTGCTGGGAATTGAACCCTAGTCCTCTGGAAGAGCAATCAATGCTCTTAACCTCTGAGCCATCTCTCCAGCCCCCTTTATTTTTTTCTTTTGAAACTTGATCTCCTGTGTCCTGAACTGGCCACAAACTCAATGGTATATCCAGTGGTGCCTCTCTTTGTGGTGCACTGGAATTACAGGTATATACCACCACCCTGGTTTTCAGTGCTGGGCATTACCCCCAGTTTCCTGTATGACAGACAGCTTTCACCCAAGCTGCATCCTCAGCCCCAGCAGTCTCTACACCAAGTAGAGGTCTTTTGGGGACTCAGCCACATGAATTTTATCCCCCATTCACCAGTTATGAGCCTGAGAGTTCTACATATTTAGCTGTTACAAATGAAGTTTTAGACACTTTACCTGGTTAGGTTTTGTTTTGTTTTGTTTTGCACAGTTATGGGGAAAGATGAGGGTAAGCACTGAAAGAGCAGTATGGTCAATTCTGACTCAGTGTTCAGGAGGGCTCAATCATACAAAGTGTGTATGTACTCGGTATTCCCAGGAATGGCCCATGTTCCCAAGTGGTTACACCATGTCAGGTTATCGAATGTTTGCTGTAATCCACAGCACACTGTCGGAATTCCATTAGCAGTCACCTGTGTCGTACTCACTGTTCTATTGCTCTGAAGAGACACCATGCCCCAGCAGTTCTTTATGAAAAAGCATTTAACTGGGGGGCTGGCTTACAGTTTCAGAGGCTTAGTCCATTATCATCATGGTAGCCGGCATGGTAGGGCTTGATGCTGGGGATGTAGTTGAGAGCTGCATACCTGTCTGTAGGCAGATAGTGCAAGACTTCTGTCTTGCCTGGTTTTGAAACTTCTGAGGCCACACCTCCTAATCCTGTCAACGGTTCAACTCCCTGGGGACTAAACATTTCAACCTATGAGCCTCTGGGAGCCGTTCTTATTCAAACCACCACAGACCTGTGTTTGTTTCTGAGTAAATTACTTTTACTTATGCATTTGGCTTTTCCATTGCCCTTCATTCCTTTGTACAAACTTGTTTTTACCTGAAATATTTTCCTCTTCTTGAAGAAGTTAACACCGGTGTGGGGGGACACTGGATACTGGTGACAATTACTTTCAAGCGTTGTTTACCTGGAAAAGCTGAGTTTGGCATCACTTTTGCAGGGTATCTTTGCTGGCTGAAGAATCCAGAGTTGACCGTTCCTTTCAATACTTTAGTGCTGGCCTCCGTTACTCCCCCAGTGTGCTTTTTCTGCTAAGATGTTTCACGGCACTGACCTCCTTGTTTTCCTGTGGCTGCTTTAAGATTTTGTTCTTGTCAGTGATTTTCAACCATTTAGTTATATCTCGGTATGGACTTTTTGTGTTTTCTCTACTTGAGATTAAGAGAAATTATTATTCAGTCAAAAACAAGCCTGGACTAGCTATATGTTATCTCTATGAACCTACTTTAGGGTTAGAGATATAACTCAGTGTATAGAATGATGATCTCATGTGCACAAACCTGGATTCAATCCATAGCAGCACATAATCTAGGCACAAATACCATCACTCAAAAGGTGGAGGCAAGATGATGAGACCTTCACAGTCATTATTGTCATTTATACTTGGAATTCAAAGCCAGCCTTGGCTGCATAAGACCTAGTCTAAAAACACAGTCTGGAGAGACGGCTCAGCAGTTAAGGCCCTTCTTGCTCTTCCAGAGGACCTGAGTTCAGTTCCTAACATCACATCAGGTGCCTCAAAACTTGCTGTAACTCCAGTTCCAGGAGATTTGATGCTGCTTCTGGCTTCCACAGGTACTGCAACTCATGCCCCATACGCAGACACACATACATAATTGAATGAATACATGAATGAGTGAGCATATCATAAATATAAAGACAATTATAAATAAAAAATTAAAGCTGGCAAGGTGATGTGTACCTTTAATCCTAGCAGTTGGGAGGCTATGGCAGAAGGATCATGAGTTTGGAGGCTAGCCTGGGCTACATAGCAAGACCCTGTCTCAAAAATCCAAGGCTAGGATTGGAAGAGTGTATTAGCATGCACAGAGTCCTGAACTGTGTCAGTGCCATCACTACCCAAAAAAAAAGAGGGAGCCATGTGTTATGGGCTGAAATCTATCTCCCAGGAATTCCTGTGTTGAAGTTTCTCTCTCCAGTATCTCAGACTATGATTGTATTTGAAGACTGAGTCTTTTAAAAGGGTGATTAAGATCAGTGGAACTCACTGAGAACAGGCATTAGTACTGTGTGAATGGTTTCCTTAAAGGACAACAAGATGAGCCAGGCCATGTGGCAAATGCCTTTAATCCCAGCACTCAGGAGGCAGAGGCAGGCGGATCTCAGTGAGTTCAAGGCCAGCCTGGTCTACAGAGTGAGTGCCAGGACAGCCTGTCTCAAAAAACTTGAAAAGACAACAGGATGAGGACACACAAGTGGAAACGCTTGTGAAGGTGGAGAAGACACTATAACACTGGTTGGGAAGAGGCCTGAGAATCAAACCAATTCTGCCCATAGCTCTAGACAGTGGGAGACACACCTCCATGTAAGCCACCCAGGATGTGGCACTTCATTCTGAAAACTCACAAACTATATCCCAGTACTAGTTTAGAGTAGCGGCATTAATCTCATACAGAGCTAACTACATAACAAGTAATACTATCATGGTAGAAAGGTGTGTTATGTCATGATAAAGGGGCAGATGCACCAAGAAGATAGACCAGCCCTTAATGCACCTGTACCTACTGCCTAGCATCAGGACATACAGGTAAGAACCTGATAGACTACAAGGAGAATCACTGACATACGTAGCGGGCAGCAATTTCAGGGAGAGTTAAACTCCTCAGCACTGCCCGTCCTCAGCTGGAAGTGGTCATCTGCTACACACAGAGTGCTTCTCCAACAGAAGAAGAAACTCATCTTCCTGAGCTCCCATGGAACATAGATTGTATTGGGCCATAAGCATACCTTAACAATTCTAGACATGGGCCAGCAAAATGGTTCAGCAGGTAAAGGTGCTCACTGCCAAGCCTGACGATGTGAGTTTGATCCCTGAGACCCACACAGTGGATGGACCAGACTGGCTTCCACACATGCTGTGATACACACAAATAAACAAATGTAATGAAAAGTTAAGTATCTCCTTATATATACCACGGTGAAATTAAAGTACAGAAATAAGTAATAGGAAGGTAACAGAAGTCCCAAAATACATAGAGATAAGCCACCTAGCTCTTCTAAATGAGACATAGGGCAGAAAATACCTGCTTCCCTCAAAAGCATGCAGGCTGGAGGACCTGGGCTTAATTCCTAGCACCCAAATAACAGCTGGTCTTCAGAGTGAGTTCCAGAACAGCCAAGGCTATACAAAGAAATCCTGTCTCAAAAAAAAAAAAAAAGAAAAGAAAAATAAATTTTTTTTTGACTTGGTTTTTGTTTTTCCTTTTTCAGTACTGGAAGTGGAGGCCGGTGTCTCGTGAACACACACAAGTGTTCTACCACTCTTGTTTCTTAAGACAGTGGTAACTTTGAATTTAATGTGTCAGTGGGGAGAGGCATGCATGCCCTGGCACCTGTATGGAAGTCAGGGGACTCATTCATGTGGAACCTAGAAACTTACTGTGTAACTGAGCTTGACCTTAACTCCTAATCCACCTGCCTCCATCATCTAAGTGCTAGGGTCACAGGGATAAATCAAGCTAGGTAAATGCTCTTAGTAGCCTTGAAAGAATTCTTAAATTAAAAAAAAAAAAAACAAAAACAAAAAACCTCTACAAAATATGAGCAGATTGATTCCAATCTGCATAATAAAAGTTACACTGGGACTAAGTAGGTTCCAAGTACAGTATAGAAGGCTGAACACTTAAAAATCGATGTATTCTTATGGTGCTAGGGCTCAAACCTAGGGCCTTTCACATACTAGGCAAGTACTTTACCACTGGAGCTGTATCCCCTGTCCTATGTCCATATTATCTGTCTCAATAATAGGTTAGTAAAAGCATTTGGCAAGGGGCTGGGGTAACACAGTGACTAAAGAGCACGTTGTACTCTTCTGGAGGACCCAGGTTCAATTCCCAGAACCCACATGACAGCTCACGACCATTTATAACTATGGTTCCAGGGGTCCAACATTCTCTTCTGATCTCTCAGGTACCAGGCACACACGTGGTACAGATAAAACACCTATTCACATAAAACAAATTTTGAAGGAAAAAAAAAAACATTTCTCAAAATCCAATGCCCACTCATTAAAAAGTTCTGAACAGGCTAGGAAAAGAAGGTAACTTGCTCAACTTCATAAAGACAAACATAAATGTAAACAATTAACTATCACTGAAGATTAAGCTAAGGTTTAAAAGCCTGGTAAAATCACGTGATGGGGGAAAGCAGCTGGGACTCATGGCTGGTAGCAGTGTCTGGCCCAGCTTTAACAGCTCTTCTTCCAAATGTCTGTGGAGGCCAGGCATGTTCCTCTTCCATAGCCCCCCCCCCAGATCTGCTTCTGTAAAGTGGGTGCATATTCTCATCAAAAGCATGCAGGCTGGAGAGATGGCTCAGCAGTTAAGGGTACTGGCTGCTCTTGCAGAAGACCCAAGTTCAATTCCCAGCACCCACATGGCAACTCACAACTGTCTGCAATTTCAGTTCCAGGAGATCTGACACCCTCTTCTGGTCTCTGGGAGCCCTAGGCAAACACTTGGTACACAGACATACATGCAGGCGAAACACATAAAATAAAAATTTTTTTATAATGCCTGTAGTGACTTTCTTTGTTGTTGTTTTGTTTGAGACAAGATCTCAAAATATAGTTCAGACTGGCCTCAAACTGGTGGTCCTCTGTCACTGTCTTCCTAGTGCTGTAATCACAAATGTCTGCCATCACCACTCAGGAGCTTTAGCTTTTTGTTTTGTTTACTCTTTGGTGTTTTTGACATAGGGTCTCTCTCCAGCCCTGGCTGGCCTGGAACTTGCTTTGTAGACCAGACTGACCTCAAACTCACAGAGATCTGCCTGCCTCTACCTTGCAAATGAAAGCAACTTTGTTTTAATAATATCAAAAAACCATAGGCAGCCCATATGTCCACCAACAGTAGACTAAACCATCTATAGTATATTTATAAAGTGAAGTATTAGCCATGGAATTTTTTTCCATGTAGTGACAGAAAAATAGTTACAATGTTGAGTAAAAGCCAGGTGGCACACACCTTTAATCCCAGCATTCGGGAGGTAGAGCCAGATAGATCTCTGTGAATTTGAGGCCAGCCTGGTCTACAGAGTGAGTTCCAAGACAGCCAGGTCAGTTACACAGAGAAACCCTGTCTTAAAAACAAACAAACAAACAAAAAATGTTGAGTAAAATAAGCTGGCACAAAAAAATATATACTGTGTGTATATGTTTATAAGAAATTCAAGAGTAGGTAAAAGTCAGCAATAGCCCTGGAGTGCAGGTAAGACTGACTAGTAACAGTGTTGAAAGTACTTCCCAGGGAGTTAGGAATAGCCCTTGGCTGATATAGGCAGTGCTTACTGCCCTGATGAGCTAGACTAGGCTCCTGACTGACCTCATGAAAGCCAGCCATTAGAATTTTACAAGTCGTGGATCATAGTTTCAAATTGATCATAGTAGGACATTGTGCATCGTGAAAATCTGTAAATGGTTTTTCAAATTGGAGAAGTTTACTTTTTTAAAGATGTTTTATGCCCATGCGTGAATATTTGTATAGTACAATGCCCTTAGAGACCAGAGGGTGTCAAATCCCTCTGGAACTATAGTTATAGATGGTTGTGAGCCTCCAGGTGGGTGCTGGGAATGAACCTGGTTCTCTTAACTGCTGAGCCGTCTCTCCAGCTTCAAGAAGTTTGGTTGGCGCACATTGTGCCAGCATGTCATTTCTTACCGCTGGTCACCCCTTGACTCTGACGGTCAAAGGAACTTGCAGGGAGATAAGACCTGGGAGGCACCAAGACCACTCTCCTCTAGCCTAACCCCAGTTGGTGGTGACAAACCAGCATCTTCTTTGCCATTTACTTGTTTACTGTGTTCCTGCGATCAGTTACTGCCCAGTATTTGAGTTTCCCATCCTGAAGTTAGTGACACTGCTTCCTGTCTGTTTGAAACCAAGCCTGGTCACTGTGGCCTTTCTATAGGCTCCTGCAGACATTGATGCTTTTGATTTTGAGTTCAAAGTCTTGCTTTTTGTTTCCACTTCTTTAGGAGCATTCTGGAAGAGTTTTCCGACTGCAGTTTGATGAATTCCAGATTGTCAGTAGTTCACATGATGACACAATCCTCGTCTGGGACTTTCTAAATGACCCAGCTGCCCATGCTGAACCACCCCGCTCCCCTTCTCGGACATACACCTACATCTCCAGATAAATAACCCAACACTGACCTCATACTTGCCCAGGTATGAAAAGAGCTGTATGTGTGGCTCTGCGGTGGGAGATGGAATGTTGGCTGTGAGGTACTGCTAGCTCTGGGAGTATCTCCTCCTCAGCCCCTTTGACTCAGCAAGCTGTATATATACAGCAGGAGGGCAGAATGGAACAGCAGGAGGTGAGGCGGGCTGCCCCAGGCTGCTGGGTTCCAGAGTTCTTGTTGTGTAGTAGTACAGTTTTTATGAAAGTAAAATGGCGTTTGAAACACCTGGAAAACTAGAGGCCCAAAGCCTGTTGTTGTGTAGTTCTTAGACCAGGCTAGAAGGGAGACCCTGTCAGTCCAGCATCTCCTCTGACATGTGCCTGGAAATGTCTCTAGCTGAAGTGTGCCCCTGACAGTTCTCAGCTCTGGCTTCCTGGTCTCACTGGGGACAGAAGGTGGCCTTTTGTCTCCACTTCTCTACTCCATGCACAGACTAGCTGGCTGGTTGGTTTGGTCGTCCCCGGCAGTGATAGGAAGTTCTAGCACCTCTCTACTGCAGGCAAAACCTAAAATACCCAGGCATTGTTTATGAGCGTTTGCAGTTGGCATCCAGCGCCATCCCTGGTTCAGACATGTTGGGTTACTGAGTTCTAAGAGTGTCACCAGCTTCGGGAGCATTGTCTCTGTGTGCCTTTCTGTTTCTCACACTGCCTTGGCTGTTAGAGCAGACATGCCTGTCACTGCACTCCTGTGCCTCTGTTGGTCTTCTGAGGGTGAGTGCGCGTCTCCGGGGCTCCCTTCAGTGTGTCCGCTGCTGGAGAGGACGGTTGGTTCATCCTCCTTCAGCTGGCACACTGGCCGTGTGCTTGCCCTGGACCTTTAAATTCAGACTTCTGTCATATCCTGATGAGTGAAATGAAGAGTATCACACCTGCCTCACAGGTCTCCATGGAGACAGTGTTGGCAAAGTTCTTAGTCCACACACATCATAAGCTCTTTGCAAAGGTAACCATGGTCAGTGATCCTCTGATCACCAGGTACTTTGTCTGCTCTTTTCACAATCTTTGCTTTTTTTCCAATGCAATAGTATTTTGCTGTTGTGATGGCGGCTCCAGGGTGTTGAGTACCTGGCCTGACTCATGCTAACCACATGTTTAACCATGGAAATATTCCCCAACCCTCACTGCTGTTATTCTCCCTCACCTTGTTTACATCTCTTTTCTCCTCTCCCTGAGAATGTGGTGCAGTCATTTTTGACTCCTCTAGGCTCTCTTCCTGGGCTGTCTTATCTTTCCCATGACTTCTGCTCTCACTTCAACATAGATAGCTAGCAATTTTTTTTTATCTCCAGTATCACCCTCTGCCGTAATCTCCAGGCCGCATTTCCAGCCACCACCTACACCTCTGTCCTCGAAGGGACCAGGAACACTTTCAGGGTCTCCATACACAGTTCCTTAAGCCAGCTTCCCGCCAGTACACCCTTCTTACAGAGACAGCACTGTGCCTCAGGGCAGCCAGGCGGGGCCCCCAAAGTCATCCCTGCCCTCTGCTATCCCAGGGAACAGGAAAAGCATGACATTGTCCCAGCCACCCTTCTCCCTTAACCTTAGGACCCTGTACCCTGGGCACACCACTAAACCCTGTTCTCTGTGTAAGTCCCAAGCCTTTCTCTTTGACAGCCTCACACACATTCTGTCTTAGAGCAAGTGAAAAGTACAAGGGAAGGAGCTAATGACTGCTGGCTGTGTTTCCACACAGGACTCGTTAATGTTGCAGTATTTAACATATCTGCCAAGACCAGGATGAACAACAATCACACTCCTACCCGGATTCCCCGGATGGATCAGCGAGGAGCAGGGCTTTGAGACTCCTGTTGGGACAGTCGGTCAGCAGCTGACCTGGACGGTCTGCTCGGCACACCCGGCTGCTTCAGTGCTGCTATCAGAAGATGTCTTTATCTTGTGTGAATGATTGGAACTTTTAAGCCTCCCTTCCTGTTCCCTCCCCTCTCCCCTCTGCACCTGTTTCTCTCCCATTGGGTTCCAGACAAAGATGACTTATAAATATATTTAGTGTTTTGCCAGAATCTCTCTTGCTTTGCCATTAAGCAGAAGAACTAGCTTCCCCATCTGGCCTACTTCTAGGGCACAGGGTCTGCAACTTCCAGGCAGAGAATGCCTGGCCTCTCCCTGTTAACTGCAGGAGTGTCCAGCGCCTGGCCAGAGCAGTCCAGGCCACTGCGTGGGAGGAGACAGCTGCCTGCACGTCCTTAGAAGACAGAGAGGGACACACACTGGAAGATCTGCACCTGCTGCCTCCTCCCCCGTCTGGGTCTCTGTCCCTGTTCCCTCCTCTCCCACTCCATCTTTAACCTGAGAAAGAAGGTGTGTGCAATGTCCTCATCTAGCATGAGGCGGATCACCTAGAAAATGTGACACTTGGAAGAGTTTGAGTGTATCGTAATTTCCAGCCCAGGCTTTTGCTGCAAGTGACCCTGGGGGCAGCAGTGGATGTGTGAACATGACGCTCACCACATTTGCAGCTTTCTCTGTCCTCCTTCCCTGTGTCCAGGGGGAGGAGCAGGGATGTCCTGGGCGCCATCAGTGGTTGTGTTTGCTCTGGACTCAGCAGTCTCCTTGGCTCCATGTAGAGTGGAAAGGAGCTGCTGATTGCATTTCCTCTCATTAACAATTAGATGTGTAATAAAAAGCATTGTGCGTCATCTTAAATCACTGGCAAGGCTGGGCCTGCAGAAAGGCTTGGAATGGCCACCGCCAGGCACCACTGCACTCTTTACCGTGGCTCACATCTGTTTCCTCGACTGAGCCCGAAAGCACCCAGGCACCCATAACTGCCCAGACTCTGAGCACAGTCGCTTAGGAGACGGCCTGGAGAAAGGTCAGTCAGTCTGTCTCAACCCCGCACTGCAGACCCTTCCTTCTGTGTCTCCCAAAACCAGTGTTTGCAGAAAGGCAAGGCTGCCAGAGGGGGCCAGGGGGAAGCTTGGCACACAGGGTTACTTACTAGTAAGCGGGAACTGCCTTCTCTTCCTTTCCTTCCCCCCCCCCCCCCCCCCCCGCCTTACTTTGCTGTCCACTTTCCCCAGCCAGGAAACTCTGGCAGTCAGTGAAAACATAAGCAGCTGGACTTCCTCAAGGGCAGGGCTAACCTGGCCTCACGGACAGCAGCACTGGAACGCTGCCAGCAGGCTCCAGATGCAGAGGCTTATGGGCAAGCCTAGGAACACTTGAACAGAGAACCACCTCACTTCCCCCTGGCGTGTCGGGCCTGCCGAGGGGTGGTTTAGGTGTACCCTTGGACCTGAGGCCATAGAACAGCCTCACTTTGTCCTTGGAAACCAAGCAGTTAGGCTCTCATTGCTGTTCCTAACTTTACATTTGAGTTTAAGAAAACCAACTGAACCAGCTGCTGTAAAAATAGAAATGGGGGCCAGTCACAAGCGACCTACAGCCGGGCCACCTTCACTTCAGCAGGACAGGGAGAAGAAGGCATCTTCATTCTCTGGTCTGCAAGTCGTCCCTTGCCCAACATGTCCCCTGAATGACTGCCATTACATGCCGGTCAGGTCACGTGTGTGCCATTTGCCTTTTCCTGTGTAGCTGCAATCTCAAGTTCTAAGAAATATCTCTGCATATACCTTTCTCCTTTCCCGACCTCCACATGCTGCAGAGTCATCCGGTTAGCCACTCTGAGCTCCTTGTCTGTTCCCTTGACTGTTAATAGTGAAGGACTTTGCTGAGAAATGAGTCAGTAAAGAAACCTGAGCTGCTTCAAGAAATGGTCTAGTGGCCTCGCCTTGACTATCCCTTCAGTTACAGTAGGCTCAGGAGAAGGAACATCTGCCTGTGTCTGGAGGCCCTGGGCTGGACGCCGGGGTTGGGGGAGGTGGGGGTGCACTACAGACGAGTCGGTGCCAGGACTGTGTTCTCCTTACCACGTTTAGCCGAAGGTGTAGCGCTCTGAAGCCGGTTAGGAAGTGTGGCCACCATTGTCATTGGTCAGGGTGGGCCCTGTGCATTGAAGCCGTTAGCTCCGTTAGGCTTTTTCTCCAGGTTGTCCTCTCTACTGCTGCTGGAAATGGGAATGGAGTTAAGTGGTCTGAGAAGCTTGAATCACATCTCTCAGCACTGGGGGTCATTTACCAGTTCATTGTAGAAGAAACAATCAGGTAAGTAGAAGTTCATTTCCAGAGAAGGTAAACCCCACTTACCATCTCTGCATGATTTCAGTGGGAATTGATTATCACAATCCCCAACTGGGCGAGAATAAATGTAAAGTTTGACCTTTTTAAAAAGAGAAACAAAGAACATCTTGATGCATTTAAAGGAATAATAGGCAAGAAGCTGCAAGCGTCCTGTGGCTCTGAGTGTTCCCATGGTCAGTCTCTCTCTCTCGCTCTCTCTCACTAAAATCTACTTTTCCATTGTGTGGCTCAAAAGGCCTCTCCTTCAGAGAGCTGAAGTCCTCCTTAAGCAGAGGAGTATGTACACAGGGTACTCTGCTGAAGAATGTGACCCTCTGTGTCACACTGGTGATGTCTGGACAAGGCCAACATGCCTTGCTGTGAGTGTGTGCGTGCATGCGTGCGTGCGTGTGTGTGTGTGTGTGTGTGTGTGTGTGCGCGCTCTCGTGTGCGCGCACGCACATGCATACGGATGCACATGTTGGTGCTGCTGGGAACATCCTTTCCTTTGAAATGCATTTGGAAAGTGGATATGAATTATGGATGGGAAGCCTTTTACACTTGTCCCTTGGCTAAATTCTTTCTGATTTGTCCTAACTTTAGAGACAGAGACTGTCTGGAACTCTGTTGACAAGTAATAAAGTCTGGCCCTCGTAGCTTCTTTTAGAACTGGAAGTGACATTGAGACTCCTAAATCATTCTGTAAGGAAAAAAAAAGAAAAAACCTTTATCTTTAGTGACCCAAAGCTGGGGAGAAGGCTGTCTGCACTCATCCTGGAGGCTGCTGGAGACGATCCACTTGTTTAGCGTTTGACTAAAATGTAGAATACTGAAAATGATTAGACCCATGGTGCTGTCAATTGTCCTAGCCTCTCCCTTTTGAGTTAGGTGGTGATACCTTCTGGTCCTAGATCTGAGGCAGGCCCATCTGGATTTGTGGAGGCATGCAGGCACCCAGTCCTTGTGACTGCAGCCCAAGGGGTAGTGGTCAGTTCACATTGTAGCTCTGTCCTCTCTGATCTCCATCCCCATTTGGTTAAACTCGGCAGTTTGAAGTGCACCCGAAACTTCCAGTAGGATCAGTCCTAGGACTCACACACGTAGATGACCTCTGGCAGTGCAGAGCCGTGCACATAGAGGCAGCCATCTCAGGAATAAAGCTGAGGAGAGAAAACCAAAGCAGCACAGCTGTGGCTGCCTGCCTTGCTGTCCAGAAACCCCTAATGCACACTGACAGCCCTGTCTCAAAATAAAGTAGCCCAGTGCTGGAGGCATTGACTCCAAATATGCACTTCCCAACAACTCAGCATCTGACTTCGTTTCTGAATATGGGGGTAGACAGAGATGTGTGTGTGTTCCCTCCCCTAAGACTTCCCCTTGGATGCTGAAGGAAAAGCCCAACAGGTCAGCCCTCTGGGTACCAGGAAAGCTAACCCTTCCCAAAGCAGTGACCACTGAGGTTTTCATGGACTCCAGCGGGGAACGGGCCTGGCAACAAGTGTGAGCCAGAGTGCTTTTGGTTGTTTGATCTTTGTTTCCTAGATTCTCCAGTGCTGCTGCTTTAATTTTTGTGATTATGTTACAGTGATGTGTAGTCGATGTACCAATATGTTCACAAGCTAGGACCATGGTAATAATAGAGTGCGTTTGGTTTTTTAACTGTTTGGGGGGAAAAGTAAATTACAAATACAAGATTAAAGTGAATATTCTAAGTGTCTTCTGTCTTTGACCCAGCATCATAAGAATGGCTGAATTTTCAGTATACAGAGGAAAGAGCTATATAGTAGATTATTTCTTTATGAGAAAACCATACTAGATCAAGAGCCAGCTATGGTAGCTCACGCCATTACTTTCAGCACTGGGGAGGCAGAAGCAAGTGGATCTCTTGAGTTCAAGGTCAGCCTGCTCTACGTAGTGTCAGTCTAGTTAGGCGTATGTGATGAGACCCTGTTAAAAAAACAAAAGCAAAGTCCAGCCAGCTTCTGTGCACACTGTAGTTGGGAGGGCGAGACCTTGGGGTGGGGGGTCTTGAGTTTAGAGCTGCATGGCAAGATCCTATCTTTAACGGGTAAGGGAAGGAAAAATCAGGACTGAACGTTGTGAAGAAACAATGTCGCCACATGCAGCTCATTCTGTGCTGGCTCATGTTGAAGCCACAGTGAGCTAGCTCTGACTTGTATGTTGCTCATCATGTGGTGACCCCACCACAGCCCCCACCTGGGCCTTGAATCTGAGCTTCCCTCCTGCTGCTGGATGGAGGCCACTCTGCTCTGTCACTGTTCACTTCAAGTTCGCTAGCCTTCAGGGACATTGCCAGGGACTCGCAAGCCACGTGTGGGCCACAGTACTGCTCCCAGGTGAGCCCCTCTTCTCCCTCAGGGCCAAGACACAGAACTAAACACAAGATGAAGGCATGGGGAGAGAGAGCCTCCTGCCCCTCCCCTCCCCTCCGGCGACCAAGCAGAACTGTCAGAACTGAGTCATCTTTGGGTTAAGACCTATGAGTGGATGTAGTCTTTCCTCTTCCCTCAGCTGTGGCCTCATTGTCTCTTACCTGGGTAGTCACTAAGATGCTCAATGCTGCCAGCCTCCACTAAGCCTAGAGAATGGTAGCATAAGCGCATTTGGTCTTGCGCAGGTTTTATGTGCCCACAACCACATCTGCTCCCTTAATAGGCAGCACCCCAGAGAACTGCAAGGAGTGGGTGTCAGCAAAGACCCCTCTGTAGCTACCAGCAACTACTAGATAATGGCCCGACCAGGCTGACTCCTAAGCCTGGGACTAAGCCTAAGGCCATGGGCCTAGGCTTCCAAGTCCAGTGCCAGACCCTCTCCCCCGGTGAAGGTACATGGCCTGTTCCAGTCCTGAGGCTAGGCTGTGGTCCCTCTTCCCTTTAAACCTAGGGCTGGGCAGCCATCAGCAATGACTAGGAGGAGATTTTGCTTCTTCCTGATTGGCTCTTGCCAATTAAGAGCATTTTATTAGGCTGCTAATTAAAGGCACTTCGTTAGCAGCAGGAGAGGCCGGGTGGGTGCCTGGTGAGATGGAGCCGAAGCCAGGAGAAATTGTTTTCCTCCCCCATGGAAGCAGAGCCTCTCTGAGCCCTGTCTGTCCCCCTCCTTTCCTGCTGCGCCTACCATGCCCCTTGCTTTCAATTAGTGGCTCTGGGGGGAGTGAGGTCATTACCAAGCCCAGGTCCAGAGCCCCCACCACTACCTCAGGCCACAGGAGACCCTGAGAAGCTGTCCAGGTCCCCAAGCACCACCTCCAAGGAAGGAGGGGCCAAACAGCCCAAGTGAAAGTGGCCCTTTACTCTCCATCCCTCTGGTGAATGTCATGTGGTTCCCATGACAGACTACCCCCAGCAGCCACCTAGTAGATGACAGGATGACATCCTTTCTCATCACTTCACCAAAAGGCTCATGTTGCATATGGCATGATTTCTGTCAGGAAGAGACTGTCCCTGCTCACTTTCTAATTGTAGAGCCCCCATAGACCCTGAGTTGGTCCAGGAGAGGCTGGTGGCT